AATTCTTGGATTGGGCCATGACATAGAAACATTTCAAATAAAGACAGTGGAGGCCACATATCTACGTGAGGTTAACAGGTAGAAAGCTTATGACAATGTGGGCAAAGCTTCTTTTAGACAACATGCTGGCACGGGAGAGGGTTTGGAACTAGACAGAGATGGTGACCATGTACCTGGTTTTTGTCGGACTACTACTCTATTTTGAGCAACCAGTTTGCTAAATGGCCTTTTCAATGGCTCAAGAGGATAGAGAGGAGAATCTAACTACTTTGTGATTAGTTATTATAGTAGTTAGTTATTATGATTGACATTATTGTACAATGACATAGACAACAAAAAGGGAGGTCATTGAGCAGCACGTGGTGATAATAGTATTAAAATTTCTTTCACACAAATTTCTTTCTTTCCCATTTATTAATCCCCAAGTACCTCAATAAGAACTGGTACTTGTGAAATGAGTTAATTTAAAAAGATTGAGGTTATTAGGGGTGGGAGATGAGTCATCTTGAGATTTGGAGTGCAATCGTTATCGAACCACTATCAGCTTAACTTCGAATATTCCTTATCTAACAAACTCTAATTAATAGTCATGCACCACTTCCCCAAAAGGAGGCTCTGCAAGCTATTACGAAAGAAGAAGGGGAAATTACTAAATCCTCCCCAGGTTGAATGTTCTCCATGTAACGCCTGTTGTTGAAAAGTCCCTCGCACCCATTACCCTGAAATACTTCTTTTTTTCACCGACCCTAGGGTACTTTTCAGCCTAACTTGTTTTACTAAAATACCCTTATTAAGGGCTTTTACAAAGTCAAAATAAATATTGCTATTTCTCTCTCTCTCTTTCCCACTTTTCTCTCTCTAAGCCTACCTTCCCATTCATATTCATATTTCTCGCTCTCTCTTTCCCCTTTCCCCCTAATCCATTGCACCCAAACCACCAGAGGTCAGCCATTCACTTGGCCTTTAATACTCATACAATTGTGCATACCACATTTGGTGTTGACCAGAGGTTAACCATTTTTTCAGTCACTCGATCATCAATCTAAATCCAAAAGACAATAACCAATCATCTTTATCAACAGCATAACATACATAAACAGTAGTTACATACCATGCATACTAATATATGCAAGCTGAGATCATCTGAACATGAATACGATCCCAAACACAATTAAGTACTAGCAACTGGTATCTGATATCCCAGTTAGCTCAATAAACCTCATCAACTCCTCACTAGCATTCAAACAGCCACCCCACAACATAAAAAACAGGCCCTTTCGATCCCAAAATCAATTGTCAAACGTATTCAAGCTTTGAAATCTTAGGATTTTTCGATAATCAATTGATATACCCATGAAATTTCATGGGTTAATACCAATTAGCCACCAACGTTTGTTGTCAAACATCTTTACGCACATCAATTAACAAAGGGTCAGGTCGACCTGATGAAGCTAGAAAGAAAGCTTCTCCAACAACCTAGGAATATCATCGATATTAAGAACAAGATAATTGTGTTCCAATCACTCTTCGAAGAACCTAGGAATATCATCAATATTAAGAACAAGATATAGACCTGGACTCTTGTCACCTCAACAATGGGTGTTTCTTGAAAAGCATTAGTTTCTATCCTTGGAGGAAACTGACCAGTAACGACAAGTAATGGAACATCATCTAGTGCTGCATCAACTTACCCATTAACAAGATTGGGGGAACATAGACCCCGAGAGAATAAAAGGAAGAAGAGGTTGGGTGGGGGTAAGGAGGGGAGAGAAGAGAGGGAAAACAACAGAAATGGGGAGATATAAATATTTATTTTAACTTTGTAAGAGCCATTAATAAGGGTATGTTCAAAAACATGGGGCCAGTTGAAAAACAATATTTTAGGATAATGGGTGTGTGGGACTTCTAAACGGGGGGTGTTATATGGAGAACATTCAACTCGTGGGATTTAGTAATTTTGCAAGAATAAAACGCCTTAAGGCACTTTGGCAGCACTCAAGTGTCCCAAAAATAGACCCAGATATGCCCCATGAGGCCTATGAGGATCAAATAACAAGGGAATCCTAGCCTCTTTCATGTCCTTGCACATGACACAGATTGGATGCTAAAAATCCATGTTTAGAAGGTGAATGCTTGTCACTATTTTATGCTCAATTGTGGTCACCAAAATTTGCCACTTCTAGGAAAGAAAGAAACTATCACATCAAGGTCCATGGTCACCAAAGTAAGGCATTCTATAGAAGTACTTTACCGAAAAGATAACAAAGTTCCTAAATTTAAATCCTTCTATCAATACCTTATTGTTTTGAACAAAAATTTCCTCCCACCTTCCCAAAGACTGACTAATTCCAAAATTACACAACCCCCCCCTCCCTTCGTCCTCCCTCTTCTCTTTTCTCAAGTCCCTCCTAAGCCTTGCAAACCATGCCGGACGACCACTTAAAAACATATCACTCACTTCCTCCTAGAACCTCCTATACCACTCAACCATATCTTTAATCTTGCTTTGCTTGAACCTCATATCTGACTTACTGCGGTGCACCATCTTCAATGCTACTTTGGCCACAAGATTGCTTCCATTAATCGTCAATTTGTCACATATCATAAGATACTCCTCCACCTTACATTAACACTCCTCATGAACCACCAAATGAAATTAAAATTATTGACTGGAATCTCAGTTGTAATCTCTTTAGTTGCTCTATAACTGATACCGGCATCTAACCTAGGTTGTTTCTGTGATTATCATCATCCAAGCCACTCATCCACCTTAAATTTTATACTCCTCCCATACCAACAAATGAACTTGAAAGTGGTTTTCTTGGTAAGAATAAAATTAAATTATTGACTGTGAATTACATTGCAGCCCCTCAAGTTACAGCTATGTACAGTAGAGTCCACCTAATTTCTCATGCACTCAATAAAAGGTGAGTAAAGAGGTCAAAGTGAACAAGGAGGACCTCCTGATAGAGTAAGGAACCATTATAAAAAGAGGGATGCATCATATAGGGTTTTGGAGATTTAAGAAAACCTTGAAAGAGGCTCTTGAGCTTAAGAAAGGAATCCATGCTACAGAAATATTAGAGAGTTAGGAAGGAATGTGGAAAGATGGCACATGTAAAAACAAATATTAAAGAATAAGAAAGCATATGAATGCACAGCAAGTATTCACTTGGTGGTTTTCTAAAAGGTTAGTTCATCTCAAGATGCCACCTATCTTATTCAAGGAATCAGCAACTGGTTCACATATCTAAGGATGTGAACAAAGGAAACAACGATTATAGACCGAAATCCCATATATCTCATCCAAGTAATGCAATCTGATTTTTCCACTAAGACTACTAGTGACCCTTAGCCAGTAGAAACCAGCCAAAACTGAGTCAAAGCCTCATCAAGAAGCCATGCTAAAGTACTAGTTCAAAGGCGTAGCCCAATATATCATTAATAGATTCTAAAATCTGTAAAACTAAATCTGTGCTATAAAAACCAAAATACATTAAAAAGAAGAAGACGCATATAGGTTTACCTACTTTCTTTTGAAAGACCTGAACTCAGAGCGATGACATCTCCTTGACATAATTAACTAATAGGAGTGTTTAATTTAAGGAAAAAGTTCATATAAGGATGCAACCTTATAATGCAGAACTACAGATGCACCTCAAAAATTCATCGGAAAAGGTAGTTTTAATGTTGAAAAACCCTTTGATTGATCATCTCGACATCGAGATGTATGACCATGAAAAATAAAAAGATTTTAAGTCTCAGAAATAGTGCATTTTACGATATATTATCTACACCGTCCATTTTCAAGATTTACATATGTTAATAGATCTACTTGATTTTAACCAATTTTGAAATTTAAAATTTTATAATTAGATATAAAAATAGATTTTGAGATAATCCTAAGAACATTTTACATCAAAATTATATACCATGATAAAATTTGAAGGTGCACCTTACCTCTACAGCTGCGGATGCATCCGTATGCCAACTGCACCCTTAATTTAATTATGGTGTAGAAACATTCATATGTCTCTAATTTCAGAAAGACTTGATTAACATTAAATAAATGAACAAGAGATATTTTAAATGTAGGATAAATGGAAGAACAAGTAATACCATTCCATTAAAATTGCAAAATCTAAAAAAAAAAAAAAATCTAAATGTGACATTCAAAACCTGCTCCTTACCTTATAAAAGAAAATCACTATGGATTTTAAAAAACATAGAACCAGGAATTCACTATTGTGAAGGGCATCGACAGATGTTGCGATTATCATTCAACAGACTCCACGAATAATTTAAGGAATATAATTTTATAAAATAAACAACTACAATATATACCAAGTTCTAATGATTAAGCCATTCCTTACCAATTTTATGACTGGTATTTCCAGTTGATTACTTGAATCAAGAAAAAAATTCAGTAAAAAAATCACCAAGCATTTTCAAAAACATAGAACCAAGAATTCACTATTGTGTAGGACATTGACAGATGTTGCAATTTTCATTCAATAGACTCCACGAATAAGATAAGGAATCAAATTTTATAAAATAAACAACTACAATATATACCAAGTCCTAATGATTAAGCCAATCTTTACCAATATTATGACTGGTATTTCTAGTTAATTACTTGAATCAAGAAAAAAATTCAGTTAAAAAAAAAAGAACTAAGTCAAGACAGAACATAGATAATGCAACCCTCATTTACAGGAGATCCTGCAAGCTCCTGAACATCTTCTTTCAAGTTATGTATGGATGGCAATGGAAGTGTTTATATCCATGTGTATACTGGAAACTCAACCCTGTTCTTTATTATCTTGATTATAGGAACACGCAGCTCAACCTGTATCACAACTTATACGACCAATTCATTAGATTTGATAGTAGGGTCTTCGCTTGTAAAACTTGTGAATGAAAATGCCTTAATAAATTCACAAATATTTATGCATGAAATGAGATTGGCATTTACAGTATTTATCAGTTCAGATTACAACCTGAAAAACTTGGTGCATGGCTTTGATTTGCTTCCTAAACCAGTCTCCTTTTCTGTTACATAACATTAATTATTTCTGTTCAGTTAAATTCAAATGAACTTCTCGAGTTTTTATAATTAAAACGAACAGAAAGTGCATTAATGGCATTTATCTTTTGAGTAAATAGTGAAAATTAACAACCATATACAGATTTAATGTCTTTGCGTCGTCCACATCAAGGAAATCAAAGGAGGTTTGTTTGACAAAACCATAGACCGAAAGAAAAAAAATTGTCTCTTTATAAAAATGAAAAACCAGTTATCAACAACATGTTCCGATTTTGCACAACATGCTGCCGATGAGTCACTAGAGAAAATAACAAAACAATCTCACTCAACATACATAATGCATAAACCAAATAACACAGCAGATTCCTAAAATATTTCTATCACATAGTGTGACCGAGAAAATTTCATCAATTCATTACCCCAAGGCACAAAGAATATTACATAAGAGTGCACTATTTTCAGTTATTTTGCGATTTGCATGACACAGCACTGATGTATTTCTTCAAGCTATACACGCTAATGTAATTAGAGACACGTTTTTTATTTGGAGTTTTATAAATTCAGGTTGCCAAGCATATGTTCCAAAACTCAAGACTCAGTTACCGACTCAGTCATGGTAAAATCTCGGTGAGCTTTTCAAAAATTGTCTGTGGTATCAAAAAGGGAGAAAAAAAAAAAAAAACATAAAGTGCTTGTAATGGCATTCAGAGTTTCAGACCCTAATGTTTACATGTTACAACAATCTTACTGCATTGGAAAGCACCACATATATGCCAAAATAACACTAAAAAACATGTATAAGCAAAAACCCAGATATATTGCTCAGTTATAAACTAGCCCATTAAGAGAGTATAAGGCAAGTTTTTCCTACTTGGAGTGAGTTTGTATTCACCAGTCAAAAACTTACAACCTTATTGGGAACTTCCTTGTTGATAGACTTTGTTGAAAAAAAACTTCCTAGTATATAGCTTGATGCTAATAATTTTCTGTCTATATAAAACGTATTCGTCTTTCTATGAGTTATTTCCTTCTTACATCCTCCCACTTCCTACATTCACTACCTAAGGTAACTTTTCAGATGATTTTTATGCATTTCAATATTTTTGTTGATTGTCACATCATTCTAGTATTTAAACACTCATACTTAAAAACTTGTGCTTATGCACAACTTGATACATTACTCAGGTAAGCCCCAAGTCTGGAAAGCATGTCAACATATTCAGGACATTGAACTTAAAGTTCAATTGCACTTATGTATGTCATAGAATTAAATAAACCTCTCTAGCTGGTAAGGGAACAACAAAGTAAACTAAATATCCCCTTCAAGGGAAAATGAAACGAACCTAAAACTTGGGTTGCGGTATATTAGAGTCAAATGGCCCCTATCAATATTTTATAAAGCATTTCATAAGTCAGTTAATTTTGTTTGATTGATAATGACTGACATATAAAAAACATGATTTACTCAAATTTATGGAACACTCCAAACAAAGAGCACAAAGACATGGGGAGGGGGGGGGAGGGAAAGAGAGAGAGAGTAGAAAATTGAGGGAAAATTTTTTAAATAATAATAACTACTTCTAAACAAAGAACACAAAGGCAGAGAGAGAATCAGAGAGAGAGAGAGAATAGAAAATTGAGAGGAAAACTTTTAAATAACAATACCTACTCGTCTATATATTTACAAAGCTCTAAAGTTCCCCATACTTCCAACATTAATGTTATGAATATTCATGCAACAATCAAATCACAACCATCCTGACTATATGAGCCCAAACACATAAACATGACCCTACCGAAGAAATAAAAAAATAAATAAAAGAAAAGAGCCAATTTCATATGAGTTCTATGAAGAACTCGGATCTCAAGAATCATGCTTAAATCGTCTGGTATGTTTCTCCACTAATAAATGCAAACAAGGAAATAGAAGAAAGACAGAAAAAATACAAAAAAAGAACCACCAAGAAAAGGAGCAAATCTAATAACCAAAGAACAAATAAATAGAACTTAATTCAGGGACTGGCTCAAGCAAAATGTACCAGTATAAGCTCCAAAATGTTGATTAGACCGCTTAAATCCTCCATTGCCATTGCTTGAAGCATCACCTCTGGGCTTCTTGCGAGGTGGCTCTACTGGATCCATGGCACTTAAAGATCAAAACCTGGTTTAAAAAGAAACCCTAAAAGACCAGAGGCCACGAAGCCTAGAACCCAAAGAAGCTAAACCAAACCCTAGAAAGAAGCCCTGATACTGAAACCCTAAAAAACCGAAGGAGAAAGAGTTCAGAACCCTAGGGTTTAGCTGAAAAGATGGATCAAAAGAAACCCTAGAAAAACCCTAGGAGAACATGTAAAAGATTTTTTAGGGTCCCGAGAAAGAAAAAGGGAGCAGGGACTTCGTCGACTATAAATCGATCACAAGGAAGAAACTGTATTGCCTCTAACTTTTACGTGTTTGACAAACAAGTCCCAAGTTTTCTGAAATGACAGAAAAGCCCCTGACTTGGAATTTGGTGGTTTTGAATTTTGGACTACAAAATGTCCCGTGGTGAATTTGAACCCCCCTAAGCCATATTTTTTTTGTTGATGACAAAAAGCCACCTAATATGCGTTGTGGTATGGATCTGAATTATTTTCGAACCACCAAAGTGACAAAAGTGCCTCTTTGCTCATAGCAATGGTATCACAATCTGTCTAGCTCTAGGCGAGGGGTCGACCGGTCAAAATCTATCCAACTATTAGTTGAATTAATTGGACTAATTTTTTAAAAAAGTAAAAAAAAAAAAGTTAAAAATATAAAATATAATAATTATCTATTTTTATTTAGCCAATCAAACCAATCAATGCCGGCTAATTTGATTAGCCAAAACTAATCAAATACTTCTTTGTCGTGTTTTCTATCAAACACGATTTTTACTTTTTGTCAAAATAGTCAAGGCATTGGTTAGCGGCGCGGCCTATCAGTCTTGCCAATCCGGTCCAGTCTTGATAAGTATAATTTAGAGTACATCTCAACAAACATTGTTAAAATAAATTCTAACTTGCCTAGTCCTCAGGTTGGACTGGCACATGAAAAATAAATAAATAAATAAATAAAACTAAACTAAAAAAACCAGGATGATACCGAGGTTCCTTGATACAGAATCTTCCACTTCCCAATCCTGATCAGACTTGGGTGATTTCAAAACATATTGATAACTTCCTTGTCATTGGTATCAATTTTTTGAATATTAAAGTTTTGAAATAGTAAAATAACTAAAAAACTACTCAATTTCTATACCAACGCCATGAAAATTTTCTCGCCTAGGGAAACAAAATTTAATGTTCCAAAGTTCAAACCTACAGCATGACCTGGAGGACCCTTTTTGGCGATAGAAATGAGTAACTCTATTCTTTCGCCTAAGTGGCAAATGGATGGTAGAAAAGTTCATAATATTTTACTTTAATAGCGTAGAATGATAAACCAGAATTCATGTAGTCAACCTCAATTAGTTGAGAAAAGGCTTTGACGATAATGATGAATCGCTAGGTTTCGATTTCGATTCATCTAGTCCCTAAATCGGATTAGCACATGGATAACAAAGAAGAAATAAAATAAAACTAAAAAAACCATGGTGGCTCCAAGGTTCCTTGAGTGAGAATCACCACATCCCATTCTTGATTTGACTCAGGTGATTTCAATTCATATTAGTGATTTTTTATGATTGGTATCAATTATTTCATAAGTTCAAATTTTTTAAATAATAACACAACCAAAATACCACTAGAGGTCTATAGTAAGAGTTATGAAAACTTTCTAGTGTAGGGAATACATTTTAGTATGCAGCATATAACTTTTCATGTACTTTCTTATTTGAAAATTTAACAAAATTTATTGAAATAGCCATAAGGGATGAAATATCTAGTAATTTACCTTTTTTGCAACTATTCCAACTTAAGACCGTATATTATTTTATGGGTATTTTGAAATTGAAACAAAAGATACGAGCAAAACCGTGTAATTTGATATATTTTCCTAAAATTTTTATTTGAAACTTAGTAGGAGTAGAACTCAAGACCTTATATTGTGGTACCTCGCCATTTTAACAATGCATTCCTGTATTGTGTGCATGAAATAAATTGCGGCACTTATCTTCAGTGATTTTACATATGTGCATGCATGGGCAGCATGTGCATCGCCATTCATCTTTCAACAGGTATTCCTGCAAGTTGAGTTGGTCTTCTTCCTCTCTATTTATGCATCACCAAGCATCCCTCTTCTACACACTCACTAATTGTCCAAGTTACTTTTTTGAATATGTTGACGTTGGGAAATGGGGTTTGGACAGCTCTATTACTCCAAGTTCATGGCATTAAGAGCCAAGGTCTACATGAACATTCATACGAAGTCCAGTGACCCACTCTGCAATCTTAATGAATAAGGCAGGGGGCCATACTAGTCGCCTCATTCAATGCTAAAAAGACATCTCCAGAGGGTTGGTTGTCTCTTTCAACCAGAATGAAAAGTGCAGATAGCTTAGCCAATAAGAGTGGGAACGGTCCAGGTCTGGATCTTGGACCTAACCCAAAAACCCACCTTTGGGACGGCGACCCTAACCCTGATCCAACTGGATCTAGAATTTTCCCAACCTGGACCCCTTCCGAATTGATTTGGGAGGACTTGGACCCAATCTGCAAATATATCTAGGTGGGGTCTAGGCTGAGTCTACTTCGACCCCGATCGACCCGAATGCTAATTGTGCCCAAGCTAATCGACCTGAACCCGCCTGCAGGGTCCACACCTTAACCAAGTTTGGATCGGCAGGTCAACCCAACCCGATTGTTAGTTCTATTAGCCGATGAGGGGGTCTCTAATGCTTACCTCTACAATGTTTTAAATTTTGGAAAATATCCCCATATCTCTTATTTTTAAGTTTCATTTATCGATAAACCTAAGGTTTCAAAAGATATCTTCTTACCACTTTAAACCTATTTTTCAACCTAAACAAATGTGAAAAATACATGCTCTTTATAAACCCAATCATTCAATCTCTTCACTTATATACTCCAAACTTATCTATTTCTCTCTCCTCCTGTGTTTCTCCAAACACCCATCTCTTTCCCTCCAGTAACCTCTCATTTTTATGAAACCCTTCTCTCTCTCTAGAAGTTTGGGATGATGGCTTTTAGAAAAAGCATGTATTTTTAGATTTGTTTGGTCTAAAAAAATGGGTTTAAATTAGCTCATAGGGTTAGAATAAATAAAATCTACAATTTTTATATTTTAAGAGATCTTTTAAAACCTCGGGTCTATTGTGAAATAAAACCTAAAAATATGAGGTATAAAAATATTTTTCCTTTTACATTTAGGTGCAGCTTTTCTTATATAATTAAGTCGTATAAGGACATGTGGAGTACCCAATAATTTGGTACAAAAATATCACTATTTACCGTTGGTACACAAAGGCCACTATTATTCCAAGTTGTCAAATGGATAATCCAGCTGCTAGACGCACACCATTGATTGCAATTAATGTCCGAGAAAAAATTTCTCACAATTTTTGTAGAGAAATGATGGACCTCAACTCGTATATGACAGTAGTAGGGGTGATTATGACCTTTTTACGAAAGGCCCTATCAGTGTAGGAAAGCACGACACTACCCTATGATCGGGCCCTGGGCCAGGCCGAGTAACTCGAGCCAAGTCCGAGTAATTCAACCCGAGTTGGGTAGATCTCGGCCAGATCAAAAAGTGTTAAAAAAATCTCAAAAAAAAATGAAAATTATGTTTAAATTAAAATAAACAAAACAAAAAAAGTAGTGGAAAAATGGATTTTTTTAAAAAAAGTTAATTTGTGATTGGGCGTATTATAGAACTATCCAAAAAAAAGAAAAAATATAAAAATAAGTTTTTATGGCTAACACACTTCCTAATCTTTGTCAACATGATAAATAATATATAAAAATATTACAAATAATTTTTTAATTTTTTAGATTTGTTTTAAATCACGAGCTTGACCACCAAATTCACCCAGGCGAGCCTGAGTTACTCAGGCGAGTCCTTGTTGGCGCGCTTTAAGTTGTCGAAAACCGGTTCCTATATTGTGCAATCCTTAATTACATTGCTAACATGCACTCCTCCTGTGATTTTCAAGAGAAAAGTCTTCTACCGTCCTATAATATGTATCATACTCGATGTTCATCCCTCTAAAACTACATAACCGACCTATATTCCATTTATGCAGAGAAATGAAAAGAAGGAAAAAAAAAAAAAGTAGAAGAAGAAGAAAGAATATAAGGATAAGGTTGGGGTAAACTGGGTTAGGCTGGCCCTCTGGACACATTTAAGGGGAGGGCCCTAAATAATCAAATTAAGGCACATCTAAAAAATTCACCAAAAGAGGTTGTTTCGAATCTTTCAATACTTAAAAAACTTCAAATCGAACGTCTCAATCTCAAGATGTATGGACATGAGAAAAAATGGATTTCAAGTATTGAAAATAGTGCATATTGAAATACATTTACTAGACTGTCAATTTTCAAGATTTTGTAGTGTTTATATATTTGTTCGATCTACACTATTTTTTAGGCTTTAACTTTATAATTAGAGATAAAGATTTTCATTCTAATACATTTATCATACTTTTATGGTTTAGGTTGTTAGGGCGTCAACCTTATACAAACTACACCCCTTACTGGAAAAAGTTTACGTAGCGCTGAGGTTTTAAACAATCAAATTAAAGTCCACCTAAAAAATTTTACTAGAAGAGGCTGTTTTGATGCTCAAATATCCTCAAATTGATCATCTTGACATCAAGATGCATGGACATTAAAAAAAATGGATTTCAAGTTTTGAAAATAATGCATCTTGTAATGCATTTTTGGACCGTCAATTTTAAAGATTTTCAAATTTTCATTGATTTTCTCGATCTACACTATTTTTGAAGCTCTATAATTAAAGATGAAAATATATTTTAAAGTTATTACTAAAATTTATAACATTGAAACTACATTTCTCGACACTATTTGAAGTTGTGCTTTATTTTAATTGTTTAGAGCCTCGACACTGTACAAACCGCAACCTTAATTATTTGAGTATGTATATATTGTCTATTCCGAAAGCATTTCATGCGTGGCTATTGAACATGACTCTACTCTGCACTGATTGTCCTCCTCCGCCATGTATCGAGATCAATAAGGTAATGAAGAGGATTTGCTTGATTTGAAAAATTGAATTTCTACATAAGTGTTTTTCTAGAAAGAAATAGATTCCATGTACTTCGACACTCAGATCTATCTAAAAATTGGACAGTACGACATGAATTTTTTTCATATTTCAAAATACATAAATTTCTTTCTTTCTTTTTTATAGATTGGATGCGAGGTGTCACATCCCCCCAATGGTCTTAAAAGGA